TCAGATGTTTGAGAGCTGCAGGACACGAACAAATATTACATATGTTTTTATTGAAAAATATGCAGATTTGCTTTTTATTACCATTAAATGAGACAACCAAAAATAAAAACGAAAGGGATAAAAACAGATGCTGATAAGAATATTTATTCGTCCAATGATATTTGTAGATGGGGGGGGGGGCTTTGAGAATGCATTTAAAGTTAAAGTTTCTGCCTACCTCACAGGGTGTCTGTTGTGGGGAGGGGAAGGGAAAGGAGTTTGTAAGCTGCTCTGAGACTCTGAGAGTGAAGGGCGAGAGTGAAGGGTGAGGTATAAATCCAATCTCTTTTTCTCTTCTTCTTCTCTTCTCTTTCTCTGCTCACCCCCACTTCAAGACTACCTAGGGAGGGAAACACTGGCTGGGGAAGGGAAGACCAATCAGGGACGCATACCTCCCTTTGCTTCCCCAGCCATCCTGCCAGGAGCCACACAATATATGTGAAAGAGCCGCATGTGCCTCCCAAGCTGCAGTTTAGCCACCCCAGTACTGGAGAAAAGAGGCCAGCTGGTGACCCTATCAGTTGCCCTGTCGAAGTGCTTTTGTGTCTTCACCGACAAGACACCATAAGCGCCTAGTGTTCTCTCCTGCAAGGGAACAACACCGTTATGCAAGACCAGCCCCTGGAACTTCTCATCACTCAGAGAAGTGGGGTTTCGGTTGGTTAACAACCAGGGCATTGCTGTCCACTGACTGTTTCTTGGCACTCCTGCAAACCAGTATTCTAACTTTGCTGCCATTTCAACCTCAAGGAGATCAAGTTCACCCAGTTTGTGTCTCTCTCTGAATAAATTTTGTTTCTGACACACCAGGTCGCTACCAGGCATGCTCAGAGGGTCCTGTGCTGGCAACAGTGGAACAAGGAAGCAGGCGTTAGGATGTTTCTGCATAGGAACTTCCTGTACTTTTGACCTGTTGCTGTTCCTAAACTAGAAGCACCCAAAGTCCTATTCAGGGACCTTTTTAAATCCTTGCCAAAAATCACTGATGTAGTGCAGAGATTCTCACTGATCCCTCATTCACAACTGCAATCTAGCCATGGCTAAACACTTTTAAGGCCCATTTATTTAATTGGGAGAATTAAGCATGTGCTTAAATCCGTAATCAATCATGAGTCTTAAAAGTGCTTATGGGTGTAATCCGATATAAGCTTAATTAAACATAGCGTAACCCTGCATAGGATCAAGTGCACTTGTGGCTCAATCATGCCCTTTAATTTTAAAATTCAAAATTTGCCTCTAACATCCATATATGTATTCACAATATGACCATTTGTGTGAGATGTCATTCCACTACATTTCAAATGTGAGAGAACTAACCCCCGCTTGAAGTATTTTAAGAAGCTTAGGGTCCTTTCTAAAAATGTACCTGCCCTGATATGTAAAATGTAAATGTGTCACATGTACTCAGGATTGAGTCTAACGAAACTGAAAGACTAGTTCCAAGTTAAATATGCATGAGATTGCCCTGCACGGCCTACAGTGGGATTCACACAAAATGACAAAGCTACATCAATTTGGGTGCAGAGTGTATCGTCCCAAGCTTCTGTAGCTTTGTGTTGCTGCTGTGCTTGTTGTTCTAGGGGCATGAGTCTCACCTAGTTTGTGGGAGGTTCTGCCATGGATCCAGTCATTCTGTGCACAGAACATGGAGGAAGGGTCTTGATTTCAACCCGTCCCTCCTAACTTCTACATGCAGCCCCATACCGCTATTCCTCTACACAGATATTGCAGCCCCCCAGGAATGATCTTTCCAGGGAATGGAGATGAACATGGGAAAACTCTGTGTGCTTTTCAGGCATGGATTGTTGGATCCACACCACTTGGGGGTGAATCCTAGACATCTACTTAGGGGGGGGGGGAGGCCACGACTCAGTGGTAGAGCATATGCTCTGCTGCATGCAGAAGATCACAGGTTTACTTCTTGGTATCTCCTGAGAAAGCCTTACCTACTCTGCCCAAGACTCTACAGAGTCACCACCGGCCAGAAGAGACATCACTGAACTACCAAATTTCTGACTCAGTATATGGCAGCTTCACATATTCAGATGCCTATTTTTTTATGGTCATGTCAAGTCCAACAGCCACTCCAAAGTGGTTTGTGTGGTTCTTGCTTATGTTACCTTAAGTCTGCCCACCTTTGTGACCCACCAAGCTAAACATAGTTCCATCTACTGTGAGCTGCATCCTACCAATTGTTCCAGATGATTTATGAATAAATTAAATAGTATTGGCCCTAATACCTATCCTTGTGGGACCCCACTGCTTACTTCCCTCCATTGTGAGAACTGTCCATTGATCCTGACTCTGTGCTTCCTTTCATTTAATCAGTTTTTAATCCATAAGAGAACCCCTTCCTCTTATCCCATGACTGCTAAACTGACTCAGGAGCCTTTGGTGAGGCACCTTGTCAAAAGCCTTTTGAAAGTCCATGTTTATAGTGTCTACTGGGTCACCGTTGTCTACGTGCTTCTTCACTCTCTCACAGAACTCCAAGAAGTTGGTGAGGCAGCACTTCCCTTTGCAGAAGCTATTCTGATTTCCCCTCAGCAGGCTTTGTCCCTCTATGTGCCGAACAATTCTACCTTTGATTCTAATTTCTACTAATTTGCCTGAGAGAGATGTTAGACTGACTGGCCTGTAATTTCCTGCTTCCCCTCTGGATCCCTTTTTAAAAATTAGTGTAACATTTGCAACTCTCCAGTCTTCTGATACAGCTGCTGGATTTAATGATAGGTTACATATACGGGTTAGTAGATCAATTATCTCACATCCTTAAAAACTCTTGGGCGTATGCCATCAGGACCCGGAGACTTACTGGTTTTTAATTTCCCCAGTAGGTCTAGAACAACATCTGTGGTCACCTCAATTTGGCTCAGTTCTCCAGACTCCCTTCATGAAAATAGGGGCTGTCACATGGGTACATGCCCCACACTTTCCACAGTGAACACAGAAGCAAAAAAGTCATTGAGCTTCTCTGACGTCTCCACATCTTCATTTAGCAATCAATCCCTTTATTTCTTTGTCACCCAAAGGCCCCACTGCTTCTCTGGCTGATTTCCTGCTCTGGATATATTTTTAAAAAATGTCTATTGTTTGTCTTGATGCTTTTAGCAATCAACTCCTCAAAAGTCTCTTTTTGCATGCCTAATTATTGACTTAATTTTTTTTTTTTGCCAGATCCTGTTCAATTCATTTGGGCAGACTTTCCACTTTTTAAAAGAAGCCTCTTTAATTTTTATAACTTCCTTGACTTGCATTGTTAACCATGAAGGCCTTCCTTTAGACTTGGCAGTGCTTTTCCTAACCTGTGGAATGCATTCTATTTGGGCTTCAATTAGTGTGGTTTCAAATAACTTGCAAGCATCCTCTAGCGATCTGACTCTCTTGTGTGTGCCCTTAAGCTTCCTTTTTACTATTCCCCTCATTTTTGTAAAGTTCTCTCTTTCGAATTCAAATGTTACAGTTCTGGACTTTAGGGATAACTTTCCATTGACCTGAATACTAAACTTAACAGCATTGTGGTCACTGTTCCCAACTGGTGTAACAACCTCTATATATCTCACCAGGTCTTGAGAACTGCTCAGAATCAAGTCCAAGATCACTATTCCTCTGTGACCAACTGCTCCAGTGCACAGTCATTTATGATGTCTAGGAATCTCATTTCTACAGCATGACTCAAGCACATGTTTACCCAGTCAATGTGAGGGTAGTTAAAGTCTCCCAGTAGAATAACATTCTCTACTTTAGTCATCTCCCTTATTTTCCTCTGCATCTCAAGATCAGCCTCAATGATTTGATCAGGTGGGGCTTTTAGGGCCCAATATTTCCTCACTTTTAGGGCCCAATATTTCCACCCATATCGCTTCTGTTGGGGAGTTAATTCCTCTGATGTCTTCTATCTTATTTGATTCTATGCCTTCTTTGATGTACAACACAACACCAACAACCTGTGCCTCCCTGTCCTTCCTATAGAGCTTATACCCAGGAATGACTGTTTCCCATAGATTTCCCCCATTCTACCATGTTCTGAGATACCTACTATATCTAAATTGTCACTGAACACTAAGCACTCCAGTTCCCCCATGTTGGCTGCAAGACTTCTAGGACTGGCATATAGACACCTATAATATGTTTCCTGCTCCAGTAAACTTCTCCTCCCTTGGTCTGTTAGTTGCCACTCATGGGCCTCAGTTGCTACTCTGCCCTCACTCCCAAGTTCTATTACGCTCCTATCAATATTATCCTGGGTGTTTATGCAATCATCCCTTTGGACTGAATTGTCCTGAACTGGAGGCTCCCAGCACCTGTCAGCTTTCCCCCCAGGATTAGATATAAAACTGCTCTGCCACGTTTTTTATATTAATCACCAACAGCCTGTTTTCCTTTTGGTTCAAGTGAAGACCTTCTCTTTTGTACAGGCTTGTCCCAGAAAGTTCCCCAGTGCCTAACAAATCTAAACCCTTCCTCCTATGCTCTGAGACCCCTGATCTGTGCCTGTCTAGCTGGCCATCAGCAGCCCCTGTGCATGGAACTGGCAGCACTTCTGAGAATGCTTCCTTTGAAGTCCTGGCCTTTAACTTTCTGCCTAGTTACCTAAATCCCCCCCCCCCCGGACCACACAACTACATTTCCCAATGTCACTGCTGACTTCTCCCCAGCAGTACCTATGGAGGTGATGCTCATCCTGATGAAAAAAAAATGTAGTTGCCCAGTTTGAAAAGTTTCTTTGGGAACATTCAGGATTCAACCAAAGGCCAAGTTAGGGCCATAAATTATAAACTGAGAAAATGGCAGAGCTGCGTATTATGAATAAGAAAGGTCAGGATCTCGGAGGCAGGAGATGGGAGCTTTCCAAGGAGCCTCAACCCCAGTCCCCAGTCCCACCCCATTTCACATTCTTTCTCTACATGTGTCCCTATAAATATATATGTATATATATATTCCACTCATCCTTCCAGCAGGAGAGAGAGAGACAGAGGGAGCAAGCAAGCAAGCAAGCAAGCGTGAAGAGCCCTCAGGGTGTTGTGCATTGGCGTCCCCACCGCTGCTTTCACCATGGCACAAGAAGCTTATTCCTTGGCCTTTTTCAGGGCTATTGCTGCAGAGTTTTTGGCCACCATGATATTTGTCCTGATAGGCATAGGCTCTGCTTTAAATTGGCCCTCAGCACTCCCGGGAGTCCTGCAGATTTCACTGGCATTTGGTTTGGCTATAGCCACTCTGGCCCAGTCTGTAGGCCATGTCAGCGGGGCACACATCAACCCAGCAGTGACTGTGGCCCTCCTGGTGGCACAAAAGATTTCAGGGCTGCGAGCCTTGGCTTATATTATAGCTCAGATGGTAGGAGCAATAGCTGGAGCTGGAGTGATACACCAGATCACCCCTGCGGAGATCCGAGGAGGCCTGGCTGTCAATGGGGTAAGTCTTCCGGCAAAGGAATTCCTGTTGTTCTGATTGAGACAGTGAGAATGAGAAAGCAATAATGTCTGTTACTTCAGAAGTCATTCCTTCTGGATTCAGGAATTCTACTCCCAGGTAAGTGTGCATGGGACTGAAGCCGTGTAAATCTAGCTGCAGAATATGTTATGTTCTCCTCTGACTAGAAGAGCATGAATGCTTGTTTTAAAATTTTTGTGTCTAACTTTTCTCCCAGTTCAAAGCAGCCAATAATACCACTGACTGCAGACTGCAAGTTGTGGGTCTTGTCACTCTGTTAAATGATCTGCTCAAAGGCTGATTTTCAACTACCGAGAATTTTTGTGGGTGACCAGAAGGACTATGAGCAAAGTCTAGGGGCTGCTCTTATCTACAGCTATAGGCTCTCGAAGGAACAGATGGGCAACAGCTGTCTCAGGCTGTGAGATGCCTGGGGAGTCTCTAGACCTCATTAAGCCATCTAGAGTCTTTTCAGCTGAATACTGTGAAAAGTTTGCCACATTGATTTAGGTGAAAATCTCTCTCTCTCTCTCTCTCTCTCTCTCTCTCTCTCTCTCTCTCTCTCTCAAACACTCACAAATTTTTTCACCTTGTTTTATTGATATCTATCTCTCTCTCTCTCTCTCTCTCTCTCTCTCTCTCTCTCTCTCTCTCTCTCTCTCAAAGAATGAAGGGATCCCAAGAGGTTGTATTCTTTTGGTTGATACAGGGTGTGCCCAAACATCAATGTACCCAGCAATGTTAGTTCTAAATCTACAAACAGAATAGAAAGTCCCAGCAGATAGCAGGGCTACTGGGTTGCTATCTGGCAAACTTCTCTGGTGGAGCTAGGGATGAGACAGTCACAGCTTTTCTCCATCCATTCCTCCCCAACTCCTGTTACCTTATCCTACTGCCTTCATGGTCTGCTGTGTTGTGTGCAGAGAATCCTGCTCATTACAACATCTGGAAAGGAAAAAAGTGGACAATAGGGACTAGAGTAGGAATAATCTGTGACTGGCTTTTCTCCCATTGCATCACGAATGTAAAGGTGAGCGTAAAACTCCGGGTTGCCATGTGGGAACTCCAGAATTGACACTTGTTCTTATGGGAATTGCAGCTGTCATGACTGGTTTTTGAATGACAATTCTGTTATTTCCCATGCTGCTGTTGCTACTACTCGCAAGAATTAGCCTTGGGATTGGCACAGTTGACATCTGGCTTGCAAACGCATGCTGACATGCCTGAAAGCTGTACAAGCACTGTAATTGCTGGAGAAAATCCAAATCTGAAAGGGCAATGAACACCTAAGAGAAAATACATGCAATTCAGTTCACTGAATTATCTTCCGTTTTGACTTTTGCCCATCTTGTTCACAGAAGGTAGGCATAAGGGTGGTAATACCTCTGCTAGAAGGAGCTAGCAGTCTTTCCTTAAAGGGTATGCTGACTAGGGTGAAATCCTGTCCATCTTCATTTACCTTGATATGACAGTTCTTGCCAATCATTCCTTAACCTCATTTCCATTTGGGGAGTAGGTAATTGATAAGGCTGTGGTGGTACAGTACTTAAATATCTGCAGAAACAATTCTATTTTAGAAAGGATTAGTGATTTGAAAGTGGATAAGAACAAGAAATCACAGCAAAAGGAGTTTTGGTAGCTGCGGGGCACCAGTGTGCTGGAAGCGGTCTGGATGCAGATTCCTGTAAAACAAATGCAGAAACAAGAGAAGGCCCTGTCTCAAAGTGGAAGTGGAAGTGGGTGGGAATGCAGAATGGAAGAATAGGATGCACTCAGAAACCGAGGCAAAATACGGGTGCAAAAAGGGCCAAGGTTATAATAAGAACATAAGAACATAAGAGACGCCAATGTTGGATCAGGCCAAAGGCCCATCCAGTCCAACACTCTGTCTCACACAGTGGCCAGAAATACCAGTGCCATCAGGAGGTCCAGCAGTGGGGCCAGGACATTAGAAGCCCTCCCACTGTTGACCCCCCCAATCACCAAGAAGACAGAGCATCACTTGCCCCAGAGCCCCTATCTATACCTTGTGGCTAATAGCCACTGATGGACCTCTGCTCCATATGCTTATCTAATTCCCTTTTGAAGCTGTCCATGCTTGTAGCCGCCACCACTTCCTGTGGCAGTGAATTCCATGTGTTAATCACTCTTTGGGTGAAGAAGTACTTCCTTTTATCCGTTCTAACCCGACCGCTCTGCAGTTTCATGGAGTGCCCACGAGTTCTTGTATTGTGAGAAAGGGAGAAAAGTACCTCTTTCTCTACCTGCTCTTTCCCATGCATAATCTTATAAACCTCGATCATGTCACCCCTCAGTCGTCTTTTCTCCAAGCTAAAGAGCCCTAAGCGCTTTAACCTTTCCTCATAGGGAAAGTGTTCCAACCCTTTTATCATTCGAGTTGCCCTTGTCTGCACTTTTTCCAAAGCTATAATATCCTTTTTAAGGTGTGGTGACCAGAACTGCACACAGTATTCCAAATGAGGTCTCACCATTGATTTATATAGGGGCATTATGATATTGGCTGATCTGTTTTGGCCCTGGGTCAGAGAGTTGGCCCTGGGTCAGAGAGATGGTCATCCTGGCTATGTTGGAGCTTTATAGCAGCATGTGCTACAATGGATTATGGGCTACTCGTTCAGGGGGTGGGGTAGCTGAAGTTGCCTATCTTCCGTCTGAGTCATACTTACAAGATCAAAGTCTGCTCCTGATGATGGATGACTAGTCGTCATTGCCAAGGGATGAAAAATGTGACATTGCTCTAGTTCCCACCTGGTTCACTGTTGTTCAGGTTATTGTGGGAGAGTGCTGAGCTTTTTTTAACACTCTGCAATGTATATAAAAGCATTCTTATTTTGCTCAGCCAAAGTTTGCCACAGCCAGGGGTGTAGACTTTCCAATTTCCCGGGGGGGACTGGGGCTGGGCCAGAGGCATTGCTAAGTCATTAAAAGAACTGGGACCCAATGACATCATAGGGAGGAGCTAGTGACATCACAGGCCATGGTCACTATCTATGGAGGTGGACCCATGTGGGATTTAGGGAGAGAGTTGGCCCTGGGTCAGAGAGATGGTCATCCTGGCTATGTTGGAGCTTTATAGCAGCATGTGCTACAATGGATTATGGGCTACTCATTCAGGGGGTGGGGTAGCTGAAGTTGCCTATCTTCCGTCTGAGTCATACTTACAAGATCAAAGTCTGCTCCTGATGATGGATGACTAGTCGTCATTGCCAAGGGATGAAAAATGTGACATTGCTCTAGTTCCCACCTGGTTCACTGTTGTTCAGGTTATTGTGGGAGAGTGCTGAGCTTTTTTTAACACTCTGCAATGTATATAAAAGCATTCTTATTTTGCTCAGCCAAAGTTTGCCACAGCAACCCATAAGGCTTTTCTTTTTAAATTTCCTCTTAGGGTGGATGGTAGCTCTTTTAGGAAAGTAAATACAGCTTTAAAGAGAAGTTGCTTCCTACATCTTGCATATCTGTCTGACCATAGCCTATAGTGAACAGGTTTGCAGGTTTTCATATAGTTTCAGAAGCCTGCATAACTTGTTTGACTGGAGACAACCAAGGGACAAAAGCATTATGTGTTTACATCATGGGAAGTGCTGCCTCTTTCAAAGTACTTTTTATTCTCTTAAAAATTATTTCCCATCTCCAGCCTTAAATGGGCTTCTAGCCATGCTTCTCCATCAATTGCAGCTTGTCTAGAATGTGACAACATAATTGCTTTACTGGTGTAAGAGCCGCATGGTGCCCATCCTGTGTCCTTAGCTACCTGTGCAGCCAAGGATAAAGTTTAAGACAACCCTATTAGCTTTTAAAGCCCTGAATAGTGAAGATCTTGATATAGTTGAGATTTGCTCATGTAACCTCATCCCGGTGGCTCTTTGTGCTGCTATTTTGGGATCCTCTCGCCACACTTTAAGTTGCCAGACAATTGTGTCTTTGCTAGGTTGGATCTCATAGTGCAAAATCTGCTTTCTTAATTTTCCTTCTGCCCTTTCTGGTGGAAACCCCTTTTGTATTCTAGCTGCTTTTATGGATCCTTTGATGGTTTCTGTTGAGGGGAGAGGGATGGTTGGGCAGACGCATCTCTTCGTACAGGTGTGTGTGGGGGGGAAGCTGCACCTGCTAAAATTCCCTCTTTTGCACAACCGTCGTTTGTGTGTGGTCACTAGAGCCACATCTCAGCTGAAGGAATGGGGCTTGCAGGTCAGCCAGTGTGGCTTCCAAGGCCACGGCTAGCCAAATGCTTCTCTTTTTTTAGAAGTGAGCCAATGGCTGAGCTCCTCTGGTGACTACCGGCTCAAGTTAATGACTTAAGACTCTCAGTTTCTCTGCTGGTGCTGATCCAGCTCTTGTTGCTGAGATACGCAGACATCTGGGCCTGCGAGGGCTTGAGAAATGACCAGACAGATGAACACATAATTATTACCTCAGTCGTTCATCAGGCTAGTAGTCAGGCTGCTGGGTGTTTTATGGTGGACCTGACAAACAGTTGAATTGTAAGCTATTCCTAGAAATCTAGCCTGTGGGGCCACTTTCCTTCTGTACACTAAATGCTTCTGTGGGCGGATGGTGATTTTTGTGTTGTCTCCGTAATCACCGAAGCTCTAAGCCTGCCTCTCCTAACTTGCGCATCATGGGTTTCTTCATTTTTTCAGCTACACAACAACACAACTGCTGGGCAGGCGGTGGCCGTGGAGCTGGTTCTGACCTTCCTACTGGTTCTCTGTGTCTTTGCCTCAACTGACAGCCGCAGAACTGATAACGTGGGCTCCCCAGCATTGTCTATTGGACTGTCAGTCACAACTGGCCATCTCCTGGGGGTGAGTATGGTAGTTTCAGCTATACATACATACAAACGAACCAATCGACAGGGTTTGATTCTGGGTTGTCTGATTTGCAGCTCTTTCCCACCCCTTTCCAGCAGAGGGTACTGAAGTAACTTGGAAGAGATATTGCTAGAGCCATGATCACATGGATCGCTACTGAAGGCTTGACCCATTTTACTTTCTCTGGGGACCGACCCACCCTTGTCTTTAGTGATGTGGGAGCCACAATGGTACAAGAACCCCTTTTCAAATAACACCTGTATGGAGGAACCAGGTGGCTAAGGCCAGTGGCCCAGTTCTTCAGGCATATTAGTGGAGGACACAGGGAGCCAGCAGCCATCAATCACTTCAGCCCAGTAGGAATCAGCCAAAGAGTTTTAAGTGACAAAGTAAGTGAGTCAGCCCCATAATTTCCTCTGTAAAAAGAACCACCCTTATACAAGGTCTGTTTGTTCTGGTGAGCACCTGTGAAGGGGTGGGGCTCAGGGGTAGAGAGCACCGGCTTTGCACCCAGAAGGTCACTGGTTCAGTTCCCTGGGATCTCCAGTTAAAAATGGACCTGGTGGTAGGTGATATGGAAAACCTAAGAACCCAGAGAGCTGCTGCCAGGCAGAGTAGGCAGTACTGACCTTGAGAGACCTGTGGTCTGAGTTGATATAAGGCAGTTTCGTGTGTCTTCATAATTACACTGCCCTTGCCTCCTCTGAGGAGTTCAGGGCTGTCTGTGTGCTTCTCCCCTCCTGGCCGTTTAACTCCCAGGGAGGGCTGCCAGCTCTGGGTTGGGAAATACCTGGAGATTTGGAGGGTGGAGCCTGGGGAGGGCAGGGGTGGGGGGGCAGTGTTCCCTCTAAGCTGAGCTAGGTAAAAGGTAAAGGTTCCCTTGCTCGAAAGCCAGTCGAATCCGACTCTAGGGTTGTGGTGCTCATCTCCGTTTCCAAGCCGAAGAGCCAGCGCTGTCCGAAGACGTTTTCGTGGTCATGTGGCCGGCATGACTAAACACCGAGGCGCACGGAATGCTGTTACCTTCCCACCGAAGTGGTACCTATTTATCTACTTGCAATTTCTTGCTTTCGAACTGCTAGGTTGGCAGGAGCTGGAACTAGAGACGGGAGCTCACTCTGTCATGCGGCACCCAGGTCTCGAACTGCTGAACTAATGACCTTCCACAGCCTGCAGTTCAGCGTCTTAACCACTTGAGCCACCGCAGCTCCTAAGCTGAGCTAGCGTGAGCTAGATCACAGTTTGTTACCCTCTGGCTAGCACATTTCTGTCGTAGCTCAGGAAGGATGGCTCCAGAGCAAATTATGCCACAGCCAAATCGCTCCCTCACAAGCGAGTAGCTCACAATGCCAGCAGCTCACAAAGTAGAATTTTTGTTCGCAAGACTCCATAACCTAGAGGGAGCAGTGCTGGGGGGGGAAGGGACCTCAGCAGTACACACTGCCACAGAGTCCACCAACTTAAAGCCGCCATTTTCTCCGGGGGAACTGATCTCTGTTGTCTGGAGATCAGTTGTAATAGTGGGAGAATCTCCAGGCCCCACCTGGAGGTTGGCAACCCTACCTCCAGGGCAAGTTCCCAGCCAGTCATTGCCTTGGAGGGCTGCTTGTGTTTGTGTGTGTATGACTGTTGTGCTTTTACTATAGGCTTGTGATATATGTGTACACATTTGCACAATGCTGGTGGCATTTCCTAAATATTAGAATTTTTTTTTAAAGCATGACTAATAAGGTACATACCCTTAGAATCCCTGCAGAAGCGCCTAATACGCTGGCCTGTGGGGGCTATAGGGTTACTAACGTCAAGGTGGGGCCCGGTGTTCTTCAGGAATTACAGCTGATTTCCAGCAGAAATGACAGTTGGGGGGGGGCTGGACTCTTGTGGTATACAGAAGAAACCTGAAGTCTGAAAGTGACATTGCATCCCTCTCCTCCTCAGACTCTGCCCTCCCCAGACACCTCCCCCAAATCTCCAGGAATTCCCCAAGCTGGAGTTGGCAACCATAGCTGACAGCCTTCTGGGAGGGGGCACTGCAGGCAGCCAAGGCAGAAAGCAGCCTATGCCTTCCCTGACAATATCAGCATTGCTGTCTCAAGAAAAAATGCACATCATGAGTTTTAGCTGTTTTGGGAGCTCTCTGATTCTGCAGTCCCTCCTTTCCCTTAGCAACAAAGGAACTGGGTCCAAGGACTGGAATAAATAGGAGAACATTGTGGCTAATTCCAACAGGATTTGCTCTGTCCACACTACCATATGCTGGTCTCTAGAAGAAGCTTTTGAATAGAATAGAGATTTTTAAATTTTATGTGATTTTTTTGTGAGCAATAATGATGAAGAAGATGAGATTGAATTCATACCCCACCCTTCACTACCCAAAGGAGTCTCAGAGTGGCTTACAATCCCTTTCCCTCCCCCTCCCCACAACAGACACCCTATGAGGTAGGTGAGGCTGAGAGAGCTCTTTTGAGAACCGCCCCTGAGAGAAAAGCTCTGAATGAACTTGTAACTGATCCAAGGTCACACCAGCAGCTGCATGTGGAGGAGTGGGGAATCAAACCCGGTTCTCCCAGATTAGAGTCCATGCTCCTAACCACTACACCAAACTGGCTCTCACTGTATGGTGAAGCGTACCGCTGAGTACTTGCTGCTGTTTGCCATAGAATATCTTCATCAGCCTTAGGAGTTTTCCATAGTGACATGTCCCTATCTTTATTGGCTTCCAGATCTATTTCACTGGCTGCTCCATGAACCCTGCACGGTCCTTCGGTCCTGCAGTCATAATGGGAAACTACCAGGATCACTGGGTAAGTCAATCCTTATGTCTTCTGTCTGGCACAAGCTGGAGCTGAGCCTTCAAAACGACACTCACAGAGCCCAGGATCCTTCGTACAAAAGGGAGGGCATGAATCATCCATCTAGGCCTTAAGCCCAGATTTCCAAGGATTTGGAAAATAAGTAAAAGTGAAGGAGAGAATTGCTATCCCTTCAGGACCTGGCAGGGGGGATGAATGGCCAATGTATTAATGAGATGTAAACAAACAGGATTAATTCCTTGTTGAGCTGTGTCTTAATTAAAATCAGTTGCTTATGAAGTACAACAAATGTTGATAGTGATATATGAGCCACGGACGTATCTTGGGGCCTCTTTATTCCATCACTTATTCTGGGAAATATAGCTGACAACCTTCTGGGAGGGGGCACTGCAGGCAGCCAAGGCAGAAAGCAGCCTATGCCTTCCCTGACAATATCAGCATTGCTGTCTCAAGAAAAAATGCACATCATGAGTTTTAGCTGTTTTGGGAGCTCTCTGATTCTGCAGTCCCTCCTTTCCCTTAGCAACAAAGGAACTGGGTCCAAGGACTGGAATAAATAGGAGAACATTGTGGCTAATTCCAACAGGATTTGCTCTGTCCACACTACCATATGCTGGTCTCTGGAAGAAGCTTTTGAATAGAATAGAGATTTTTAAATTTTATGTGATTTTTTTGTGAGCAATAATGATGAAGAAGATGAGATTGAATTCATACCCCACCCTTCACTACCCAAAGGAGTCTCAGAGTGGCTTACAATCCCTTTCCCTCCCCCTCCCCACAACAGACACCCTATGAGGTAGGTGAGGCTGAGAGAGCTCTTTTGAGAACCGCCCCTGAGAGAAAAGCTCTGAATGAACTTGTAACTGATCCAAGGTCACACCAGCAGCTGCATGTGGAGGAGTGGGGAATCAAACCCGGTTCTCCCAGATTAGAGTCCATGCTCCTAACCACTACACCAAACTGGCTCTCACTGTATGGTGAAGCATACCGCTGAGTACTTGCTGCTGTTTGCCATAGAATATCTTCATCAGCCTTGGGAGTTTTCCATAGTGACATGTCCCTGTCTTTATTGGCTTCCAGATCTATTTCACTGGCTGCTCCATGAACCCTGCACGGTCCTTCGGTCCTGCAGTCATAATGGGAAACTACCAGGATCACTGGGTAAGTCAATCCTTATGTCTTTTGTCTGGCACAAGCTGGAGCTGAGCCTTCAAAACGACACTCACAGAGCCCAGGATCCTTCGTACAAAAGGGAGGGCATGAATCATCCATCTAGGCCTTAAGCCCAGATTTCCAAGGATTTGGAAAATAAGTAAAAGTGAAGGAGAGAATTGCTATCCCTTCAGGACCTGGCAGGGGGGATGAATGGCCAATGTATTAATGAGATGTAAACAAACAGGATTAATTCCTTGTTGAGCTGTGTCTTAATTAAAATCAGTTGCTTATGAAGTACAACAAATGTTGATAGTGATATATGAGCCACGGACGTATCTTGGGGCCTCTTTATTCCATCACTTATTCTGGGAAATCCTGCTTGAACTCACTTTCAGTGTCTAATTTGCTTACGTGTTCAAGTGATGAATTAGAGGCCAGAGTACAGCGAAAGAAAGTCAACAAAGCTGGCAAGATCAGAGGCTCTTGGCTGACCTCTCCATCATCCTGGGATAGCAGAATCCTTGGTAGGCAGAATTCACACTTCCATAGAGAAAAATTTATGACCTGCAAGTGCCACAAGTCACAAAGGCAGAAAGAGCCGAATCACTGGAATATCATGAAAGTCCTTTTCTGTACAAAATTTCTTATATTAGGGTAACAAACATGAAATTCTTGATGGGGGGGAGCCTTGGTAGGGTTTACTTTTCCAAATTATAAAAATATAATGACAGTTGTCACATTCAGAATAAAAAGCTCTGTCTCCTGCTCATAGAAGTAACAATAATGATATGGTATGCAGGCTTTCATTGTGAAAACTGATACTCAGCTGAGAGACTCCCAACATTTGGCAGTAACAGAAAGCAGAACACAACTTTATTAAACAGACAGGCTTAACTAACTTTCCAGTCTAGTGCTTCTCTTTGACCCCCCCCCAACCATTCAGCACCTCTTGAGCAGTTGTCTCTGTCTCCTGCTCATATAAGTAACAAATAACAATATGTTATCGAGGGTTCCATTTTGAGAACTGCATTATGAAAGCATAATGCAGTGTCATAATGCTGTGTCATCACAGCTTCCCTGTGGCTGGAACAGCCTTCCATTCTCTATGTGAGAAAAAATTTCCACATCCTTCCTTAAGATCCACCCATTGTCAGCTGATTTTCCCATTCCCTCTACTCATTTGACATAAGGCATTTTTCTCTGTGTCCAAGATGTATGGAGATTTTGATTGCAGCACTGGTTGAAGTTGGATGCTCAAAATGTGCCCACATGTGATGTAAGGAGCTGGTGTCGGCTAGAAGCAGCATGACCTGGAAATATTAGGAAAGCTCAGTGTTCATAACACGCTGTATGCAGCCAGAGCATGGCTGAATTTCACCTGAACATCTCAAGATAACTGTGGGGCCTTTTAGCTATGCTCTTGGTTGAGTTCCCCCTATTCCCACAAAATACTGTTATTTGATTGCATCCTTACTGGTCAAGAAGAGGGAGGGGGGAGGGTTCCATTTTGAGAACCGCTTTATGAAAGCATTTAAAGGCATTTTTCTCTGTGTCCAAGATGTATGGAGATTTTGATTGCAGCACTGGTTGAAGTTGGATGCTCAAAATGTGCCCACATGTGATGTAAGGAGCTGGTGTCGGCTAGAAGCAGCATGACCTGGAAATATTAGGAAAGCTCAGTGTTCATAACACGCTGTATGCAGCCAGAGCATGGCTGAATTTCACCTGAACATCTCAAGATAACTGTGGGGCCTTTTAGCTATGCTCTTGGTTGAGTTCCCCCTATTCCCACAAAATACTGTTATTTGATTGCATCCTTACTGGTCAAGAAGAGGGAGGGGTATTTATGTATGTACTACAACCAGAAGCCCTCTTTGGGAGCAAGTAAACCATTGTTATTTATTTATTTTGGAAACCCTCTTCTTTAGGTCTTCTGGGTGGGACCTCTGGCTGGTGGCATCTTAGCATCCCTGATCTATAACGTCATCCTTGCTCCTGATACAAGAGGTCTTTCTGAACGGATTGAAGTCTTAAAAGGGACCTATCAACCTGAAGATGATTGGGTGGAGAACAATGATCAGAAGTACTCAACGGAACTGGTGGAGAAGTTCTAACAGTCCTCCAGACTGATCAAAGGCAAAATGAAAATTCCACTCACAAATATTCCACTCTGTGCCCTTAAGGGCATGCTCGTCAGCCCTCAGCTCCCACCCCTATTCCTCATGACCCACAATATTCCTGTAAGATTGTATATTAGTATGAAGTCATGAATTGTGAGCTTGATATCAGGTAGACCAAGGGAAGAAATAGGACCCCATATAATGTTTGTCTAGTGCAGATGGGTGAGGGTTGTTGCAAAGTCTCCCAGATGTATATGATTAGCTGCCAAGGGCTGGCAATGGATAGTCCATATACAAAGACCTCAAACATCTCTCTTTATTTATTAAGTGGGACCTCTAGCCTGCTAGACAGGCTGGTGTTTGGAGCATGTGGACTGGTGATACTTGGAAAGGCATACAGAGATCCTGCAGGAAAGCCATTTCCATTTTGGTCTGCCCCACTTGGTGGTCTTACTCCCTCTCCCATCTCTGTGTCATCACAGCTTCCCTGTGGCTGGAACAGCCTTCCATTCTCTATGTGAGAAAAAATTTCCACATCCTTCCTTAAGATCCACTCATTTAACAATCCATTTGCTTACTCAGTTCACACCTGTTGCACTTCCATTGTCAGCTGATTTTCCCATTCCCTCTACTCTATAGACAAATATGTCTAAGTTTGGTTTCACAGTTCTGCTGTTCAGTTAATATGTATGGTAAGCCATTTTGGGCAGGGACCCTGTCACTTCTTCTGTACAGTGCATAGCATACCGCTAGAGCTAAATAATGTTAAATAAATAAATATAAATAATACATAATGATTCTAAGCAGGCAGAAGCCTCAGACCTGCTAGTGGAGAAGTACTGACGGGCAGGGCTATTTTTGGGCAGGAACGCACAGGAACGGAGTTCTGGCTGGCTCCCGAGTTGGCCACGCCCGGCAGGAACTCATTAGCATAATAAGCCACACCCAACAGCAGAAACTCATTAGGATTGGCTACAATAGGGGTGTGTGGCCTAACATGCAAAGGAGTTCCTGCTACAAAAAAAGCCCTGGTTTTGACGACAAGGTAAACAGAATAAGAATCTAAAGGTGGGTGTGGCTGGATGACCAGACTTCTGATAACATAGTGGTGCGGACTAATGTGCTAATGAGCTGTGCTGTCAGGGGTGTGGCCTATTATGCTAATGAGTTCCTACTGGGCTTTTTCTACAAAAAGAGCCCTGCTGACGGGCATGTTGTGTCAGGCCTGGAGCTCCCCTCCATGTCACAATGCCAATGGCCAGTCACCCAAGAGAGAACTGAGACATCAGGATGGGGAAATACCACCCACTTCATTTCCCAGCTGGGCAGTGCCTACAGTGAATGGCCAGAGGCTCTGGCGTCTGGAGATCTTTCTCTAGGAGCTTCCTCCAGATAGGGACAGAATCATTCTGAACCCTGATTGGTTTATTGTGTGGAGGTAGGTAGGACTTCTCAGTCACTTAATCCTGTCTTTGCAACCACTTGGAAGAGAAACTCGGGGGAAAGACATTTCCATGGGGCATTGTCCTGGGATGGCATGTAGCCACAACCTTCCTCCACTGAGCCTAGAAAATCATGTTGCTGCTCCTGAGCAGCAGTGGAGATGGAACAACTGACAATGGGTATCCTCAAATGGGGACTAAAGGAATGTGCTGTGGATGCAAGCAAGAATCTGACATTAGCTGGTTCACACCCTCGGATAAGTGTACACTATTTAAAAAAGCAACCCTTTCTGGGGTAAAGAAAAAGTAAATTTTCATGGGAATTACTTGAACGCAGAAAAGAGTAGGCCCACCCTGACATTCTCTAGATGCAGAGGGAGGGCACATGGACAGGCCAGTCATGCGAAAGGCCATTTCCCAAATAATTCCCAGGGAATGGCCTGTCATTTTTGTTACATGATCCAAATGAACCTGACAGCTGGTGCATTAGTGTCCAGAGATAAATGTCTGCAATCAGAATGTTCCTGTGTCCCTCAGCCATTTGGGCTGTCAAACAGGCTGACTGAAATTTTACCTCAGAGCAAAACCTGTCCCTAGGAGGATGGCACCATAATTAAGGGGAAAGCCTGCAAAGTGAGGGGTGAGAGATTGTGGGGACACAGGTCATGGAATAAATTCTAGTGTTGGGCCACTGTCAAAAGCAAGAACAGTTCTCCCATTTGACGTTGATGGCATGGATTTTAGGAAGGGCTGTGTTCATCCATTTCAAAGCAATGCTAAACCATAATAAGAAATTAAAAGAACAATTCTTACAAAAAGCCTGTGCACCCAGGTGAATATTTTACCTGTGCTGGCCCATTCACACAATCAGACTTGGTTGCATCCACACATTATGGGATTTTGTGCTGTTATTCAGAGCTTGGAATGCCTTGTCCACATAAGAAAATCCAGTTGCAAATGATTGCTATACCATAATGATAGTCCAATACCCAGCAACATGTGACAGTCAGTAGGGACTATGGAAGAGAAGATTTCTGAAGACACTGACAATGGCAGGGAGAGAACGGTATAAGGAAGTGACAGATCAGCAAGTGCATCAGTATTTCCCTGTGGAAATGAGCATCGAGTGGGATGGGTAATCTCAATAGGGACTAGACTAGCACACTGGAAAACTGGAGTGTTTCAGCCAGCTGATGAAGTGGATAAAGAGGAAACATGATGAAGCCATCAGACTTTGGAGGCACTCAATGAAGTTGATAGGCAGTAGATTCAGGGCAAACCAAAGAAAGTACTTCTTCAGCAGTAACAGACGCAGCACTGTTCCTGTTCTCTCCTAGAACTGAAAATACCTCAGAGTAGCTAGAAAGCTGCAGTCCCATTCCCTCCATTAACACCCCCCCCCAATATGTCTAAGTTTGGTTTGGTAACAGTGGTGCACTTCCTGGCTTGTGAGTTCACAAGTGTGTGAGTGATGCCATAACAACAAAAATATTAGGTACATTGGCACTGCAGTCCTAAGTTGCCCCTTCCTAAGGCCATTGACTACAGTGGTCTTAGAAGGGGCTAACTCTTTAGACTGTACTGTGCATGGGGCATTCAAATACCAAGGGGGAAATGGTCAAATACCAAATACTGGTCATCAGATGGTGACTACCAAGCATTGGGTATCTCAGAATTCCATCAAGTGAATATGGGGACAGATTTGGGCTGAAGGTGGGACATGTGTATTTCAGAGCTAATCTCCATCTGTGCAATGAATGGTAATGATATAATGTGGCTCTGGACCGCATGGCAGCTAGAAACAGGATGTACATATGATGAACTGAAACATCTATATAGATTTCATAAGACTCTCATTATTCTTATGCAAGGTCATCCACTGGTTTCATCCAGGAATCGTCTTTTTGACCCCAACCCCTGATGCTTTGGAGAAAGGGTAGCTGAAAGAGAACGGTAGAAGGGCCCCTTGTCTAATACTTCTTATACAAAGAGCACCATAAACATCCCCCCCCCTAAATGTCCCCATTATTGTAGTCCAGTGAAATGCCCACTCTCATGGCTTGGATCACAGAAACTCCTCCCAGGGGACAACTTTTCCATTTGCGGAAGAGGGGAGGGAGACTCCTTCTGCAGACTTCCAGCTGGCTTCCTACACTGGTCCTTCTGCTTCATTGACTCCTGCGTGGGTGGGTGAGTGGGTGGGTGGGTGGAGTCTACAGTGAGATATGGAATCAGAGAGGTCGTCCTCCTCTAGCACAACTCTACCAGCACCGCTTAGGATCTAAGCCCACGACTGTCAGGACATGCATAGAACAGAGTTGGGTGACTTATCTCTCTTAAAAAAAAAAAAAAAGGCTGGCAATTCTCCCGTGCCTTTGTTTCTTGACACCCTGAAACCAAGCAAGCAAAACCTCCCCCCCCCCCATCTCCATGCCACTAAAAGCTTCGCCAGCTTAGTTTGTGTGTGTGTCAGGCTGCTGCAAAAAAGATCAAGGTCAGTAAAAAAAAGAAGAAGAGCTATTCCAGTGTGGAGGATACGCCCACAGACTGCAAGGTTTTCAAGAGGGGGAGCCTATGTTTGTATGTGATGTTTGCACAAACATACACAGTATCTCACTCATGGAGTCTCTCTCAGAGCAGTTTGGGCCACCCACTGTTGGGGGTAGGAAGCATTATTTATTTATTTATTGTATTTGGCTTTTATACTGCCCATTCCCCAGTAGGGCTCAGGGCAGTGCACAACAAGTTCCCTAGTAGCAAAATGCTTCGATTCCATAGTAACAATTCAGTTTCAAGGACAGATGGCAGTCAGAGTTACAATTGTGCGACCACCTTGCAGGGGGGAGAGTGCCGGCCAGATGGACACCAAATGTGTCCTCAACTAAGCACCTGGCAGAACATCTCTGACTTACAAGCTCTGCGGAACTGTAATAAGTCCCGCAAGACACAGATGTTACTCAGCAGAGAGTTCCTTCCACCAGGTTGGGGCCAGAGCACCAGAAGCTCTGGCCCTAGTTGAGGAAAGCCAGATTTCTCTCGGGCAGGGACCACAAGCAAGTTCTTATCCACTGAGCGTAATACTCTCCGAGGGGTATACCGGAAGAGGCTGTCCCAAAGATATGCAGGTCCCAGACCATTCAAGGGAAGCACCAGAACCTTGAAGCTGATCTGGTGCTCAACCAGTAACCAGCGCAGCTCACACAGCAGAGGTTGAATATGCGCTGATCGCAGGGTCCCAGTAAGGACCCACGCTGCTGCATTCTGGACCAGCAGAAGTTTCTGGGTCAGTCTCAAGGACAGGCCCAAGTAGAGCAAGTTACAGTAGTCCAGTGCCCCAATTTATTTATCCCCAAATGTATTTATTTTATTCCATTCTAGCCTCCCCTCCCCTGCACAGCAGGCTTCGGGTGGGTTACAACACACTTAAAACATACAAAAGATAAAATACAATACAATACAATACGATCCTTAAAATCTATCTAACAATGCTAGTGCATAGACATGAAGTGGCATCAGCTACACAATTTAATGAGTCACGAAAGACTCTGATTGTGTGTAGCCACAGATGGAACAAGACAGGTAAGTGAGTGGGTGAGGAGAACAGCTATGATGGACTAAGGAAGAAACTTAAACAAGCAGCTTAGACATAGCAGCAAAGCCACTGTCAGGGCTATTTTGGGGCAGGAACGCACAGGAACGGAGTTCCAGCTGGCTCCCAAGTTGGCTACGCCCAGCAGGAACCTCATTAGCATAATAGGCCACACCCAACAGCAGAAACTCATTAGGGGTGTGTGGCCTAACATACAAAGGGGTTCCTGCTACAAAAAAAGCCCTGGGTTTTGACAACAAGGTAAACAGAATAAGAAGCAAGAGGTGGGTGTGGCTGGATGACCACACTTCTGGTAACATGGGGGTGTAGCCTAGTATGCAGAGGTCATTTCAGGGGGGAACGCGGGGGAACGCAGTTCCCCCGGATGAGGTGCAGGGGGCGGGGCACATGACGAAGCCCCGCCCCCTGCTTCCGGCCGCCCCGCTTCCAGCCCTCATTCAGCCAGGAGGAGGCAGGAGAAGAGGGAGGGGAAGTTGCTTCCTCCTCGCCTCTCCCCACCCCTGCCTGCCTGGGGCCAGGGAGGGCCTTGGCGGGGCTTCCTTGCACTCCCGCCGGCCTTGCAGGTCCGCCGCCCAGGCCCCTGATGTCAGGGGGTGTGGCATATGCTAATGAGTTATGCTAATGAGTTCCCCTAGCTCTTTTTCTACGAAATGACCCCTGCTAGTATGTTAATATGCTGTGCAGTCCGGGGTGTGGCCTAATAGGCTAATGAGTTCCTGCTGTTGGGTGTGGCCTGTTATGCTAATGAGTTCCTGCTGGGCTTTTTCTACAAAAAGAGCCCTGTAAATTAACACTGCCTCAGCCATAGTTTTACAGGCCCTGCGGAACTGGACTAAATCCCACAGGGCCTGGATCTCACTAGAGAGGGGCGTTCCACGAGCCCGGTGCCAGAGCCGAGAAGGCTCTGGCTCTTGTTGAGGCTAAGCGTACATCTTTTGGGCTGGGGATCACCAGTAGATGTTGGTCAGAGGAATGCAAGGCCCTTTGGGGGATATATTGGCAGTAGTTTAATTTTATTCCCGCTCCCATATAAGTGAATGGCAGCCACTCACTTATATGATCAAAAGTAAAGAAGTGCAAATCATGGGCACCATTAGAGTGATGCTACTCCAATTTGGGAAGGGGGATGGCCCAGCTTTGACTCCCCCCCCCCGCCTTTCAGCTGAGTCCCAGATTGTAGGCCTTTTCTACTGAGTCCCCACAGAGCAGTCCACTTAAACTCTAATCCAGAAACCATTTCTTAGCACAATCCAAGAGTGTGATGGAATCCTTGGATTTGGTACCTTGATTGATGGGCCTGTCCTCCAGTGAAGGTTTTCATATTAGCCTTCTATGACCCGGTAGTTGTCATGATGTAGTATTTACTCTCTCCATACCACTCTGTCATCAAATGCTTGTACCTTTCTGTGCTTGGTCTGTTGGGGGGGGGGGGAATAGCTTTCACAAACACCTTCACTTCCTATAAATTTTGCAGAGGCTAAGATCGAGCGAATCCAAGCAGGAGGGTCATGTGTTGAAGCCAAGAGAAGATCCAGCAGACTCTGGACACACATTCTACAGGCTCCTTCGATAGTTCTCCTGTGTTGCACGGAGCCAAGGTTTAGACTAGGGAATGACCGCATTCACTGCTGAGATGACTCTGTTCCACTGACAGAAGCCCCTTCTGGAAGTGCACTGGGATTTTGATCAAATTGAAGCACGTGGGGGTAGAAGGATAGATGACGACGACAATGAAGCTGCCACATCAGAGCATCCCAGATCCTTGCTTATGACTTTGCATTGTCTACGATAGCGTGGATTTATACAGAACTGTGACACTGCATTGGTAAATTGACCCATTTGTCAGTGAAAGAGCCATCAACCGTCAATCCGTCCCAATTAGTATTTACTGCTTTATCCTCCAGATATTCCGCACTTACAAATGCAGGATTAAACCTTGACAGAACTGCTATATGTCATTGTCAGTCTTAGCAGCAGCCTTCACGGTCACCTTGGGAAGGAAGTGGTGGGCCTCCAAAGTGCGTCCCTCTTCTCCTTCAACTGCATAAGAAGCCTTCGCATCTGTGCAATGGTGTCAGCTCTTTTAGCAATATGGCACCATATATCAGCTGTCCCTGCTACCCTGTGTCTCTGTTGCTCAAAGTCTCTTTGAAGATCTGGAACTTGTCAATGCATATATATCAGAATATGCATCCGCTTGTCGCTGTCGTATGACTCCAGAGAAAGGCACTTGGGGCCCTCTAGTGGCGAGGGATGGAAAAAACCTTCCTACAGGTTTCAGTCTTTTGTCAAACCCTCCCTAACAACAGAAGGGGCCCGTGAAGGCTTTTTTACACTGAATCCAAGGAGGCTACCCTGTTTCTACAGCCTTGATTCGATCTGCTTGGTCCCATCGTTCTCCAACTGTTCGGTAACATAGCTGCCCTTGAGAATAGCCAGTCTTTGTGCAAAGCTCTTCGAGTCATGGTAAATAACAAAATTATAAAGCAGAGATGCCAAGACCGCACCTGATAAAGGCCCCACCCAGAATACCTGCAAGGACAGAGAGAAACAAATCATGATGAGAGAAGGCTAGCATCCATTTTAGCACATATTCCTGAACAAACCACAGCTTGGTTCCAGAGAACAGAGCAAAAGACAGGGCCCCTGGTCCAGTTGCTCTGGAATCCAGTTCACTATCTTGCTAAGGAGTGTTCTCACAACTTCATCGGGGTTCATTCCT